TACGCGCACACCATTATTTGCCACGGTATTGGTACCCATGGATCACCGGGAATTACTAAGTTTGCTTCACGCGCACACCCATATCCGCCACGGTATTGGTACCTGTGAATCACCAGGAATAATTAAGTTTGTTTTTCGCGCACACTATTATCCGCCACGGTATTGGTACCCGTGGATCACAGGAAATTACTGAATTTTTGCTTTTCTTACGCGCACACCATTATCCGCCACGATAGTGGTACCATCAGAGCAACAACTAATCGGATTAACGCGAAAACCAGTACTTGCGACGGTATTAGTACATCCGAGTCAGGTCACGAGTCCAATTACCATTTACCCCCACGTAACCTCTAGAAACGATACGTTTACCCGTACCAGTGCCGGTAGCATCTAGATTGCGGATGGGATACCCTTCGGTACGCCGCTCCGAGTAAAATCGACCAACCTTAGACGAGCCGCGAGCAAGTGCATCAAAATATTGCACAGCAGTCAGTTCTAGTCGGGTGAACCAGTCATAGTCCTCTTTGCAAATACCGTATCGTTAATTAGAACTACCCCTTCAGCCCCGTGTCCCATTTACGTGCCCAGCATGTGTCCCGAGTTATGAAGCGAAAGCTTAAACTCAAATAGTACGCCGCACCGACGTAACAATATATATACTGTGCTCTGCGTAGCACATTTAATCCAAGGAAGCGCCGCTGCTGAGCTGTACGCTTCACTCAGTCAGCAAATGTACAAATACCAATTGATTATAAATAAATGCCGCTATTTATTTGAACTTTCTAACATCTAGTTAATCCTTTCACAAAATTAGCTTTTCACGTGGTCAGAGATTAGCACGCAACGAAAACGGCTTTTTCACGAACAATTGGAAAAGCATGGCAACTGTACAAAAAATAAAGAAGCATAGATACCAAAAATTCCTTCATTCTACCTTTTTTTCCTTTACCATTAAAATAACCTTAACTCTAAACAGAACAGAAGTTGCACGAACAGTAAAAGTTTTTCACGTTTCTCATTAGCCATGAAACATTTTGAATCAGATAACATAACCTATTATTTTCTTTTCGTCGTACCTTTTTATTTAGTACTCATATTCGGGGGTTATAAAAAAAATTGCCATCGACCACTTTGTTTTGCCTATCATATGAAACCTTATATTATGTAAGACGGCTTACTGTATTTCACTTCTCGTCGTGCTTTTTTAACTGTTACTCATGTCAAGGAGCTTGTTGAAAAAAAGTATTTGGCTATTTCTTTAGGTTGACCATATTCGATCTACTGTGATGTTAGCTATCCTACCTTGTTTTTAAACATCAGAAAATTTGATTGAGTTGAAGCAACAGACAAATCTCTGTTAACATTTCTTATTTCTAAAGGGGTTAAGAGATTTCAGGGAGATGGGGGCAATAAAAATTATTCAAGAGCTATGGGGGGCTGGGTAGGCTCAAGATATGATTTAATTTAGATAAATTAACAGTGATAGCGATAAACTTTTCTTTATTTTTCCAGTAAGGTCAGTGGCAATGGGTGTGGAGGGTCGTAAGGATAGCCTTACCTTTACAACCATAAAATATAGTAAGATATGTATGTGTATATATATATATATATATATATATATATATATATANGTAGTGTATGTATACGTTCAGTAGTGGGGTTATGCAGACGCTCCTTAGCACATAATATTTGCAAAAACAGAGAAAAAAAAACATTTTTTGCCTGTTAAAAAAGTAAATTCCAGTTCTACAATGAAATATTAAATACAAAAGTTGTAGTACCCATCAAAATAAAACTTTTTGTTTAGTAAGATTTTTTATTTCTTAATGAACTAATCGACAAAAACAGATTTAATATAGCCAAAAAATCGTTTTAAAAAGATCTACAATTTTCGTATTAAAAATTTTCTCTCAAAATGCACTATTTTGACACTATTTTGTATTGATCAATTTCACCTATAGTTTTGTTATAAAGACACTTAATATCGAGAAACCTTTTAAAATGGTTGAAATTATCATAATCACACATCATTTATCCTTCCTGACCACCCATGAGGCGGATCAGCCTTATAGTAATGAATAATATAAAAATATTTTTTTCAGAATAAATATACAGTTTATGAACTATACAAATTGTTCTGAAAAATAGTTCTTACGCTATCTCTAATAGTAAAGTTTATACTGCGTTGACCTTTATAAAATTATTATCATACAAATATGTAATGTGAAAATTTTCACATTTAGATAAAATATGGTGTACAAAATGCCCTACACATTCAACTATATACCATAGAAAAATATTTTACCACTATGTATAAACTTTCTCGTTGTATGAATCCTATGGTGCTTCCATTTGTTTTTCCTTTAGGAGATTTAGGATAAGATACTGGTTATTTAAAAAATTACTCAAATAACAAAGGAAATCTAATTCTGTTCTAACATAACTTATACAGACTGTCTTACAGACCCACTGTCATAAATTTTAGTCTATTGTTACGGGGGAACAATCAACACAACAACATTTTATTTATTTTTACCTTATGATTAAATATAACCGATTAAATTATTTGAAATATGAACAAAAAATGTACGTATTAAATGTTTTTAAGGTTTATTATAAGGTTTAGACGTACCAGCGCATCCAACATTTCTCAAAATTTCAAGACAAAGAAAACAATTGAAAATATTTTTAAACTTTCATCTACATACATCGAAAGTCTAAGATGTAAGCAGAAACATTTTTAAGATGCAATGTCTCTAATGAGAAAATGTAGAACATATTTATTTTTAACAATAACATATTACCCTAAATAGAAAGAATTAAAGTTAATTTTATCAAAACTTTCTAAAAATACAAGACATTTTTCAAACATAACTGTTGAATAGTTTTACTGGAAAGTAATGTCAGTTTTAGATATTATTAAAAATGATATATTCGGTGAAGTATGAGCACACGTCTTCATCTTAAAGAATTAGTAAACCACTTAATTCAAAAAACATGGCCCACCTCATTGACGCAATTCAATAACTTCGCAACCAGATCAAAAAATAATTATACTTGAACAAAGTAATGTAATTATTTCAGTTGAAATTCCTTTTGGTAATGAAAAACTTACAAAATTAGTGATAAAACAAATGCTTCACGGACTCATACAGAACAAAGTCCTTGTACAATTGACCAAAAATGTAACAAAAATTTTTCAAAACATTTTCTAAACGTTACTTCATTTTAAACGAATGGTTACCTCGAATATAAAAGGGAAAATAATACTTCTGAATAACATGTTGATAAACTTTGGAGAAAAGATAAAATTTTACTAGAAAATTCGATGGTTGTACTGTGTAATAAGTTTTGGTTGATATAATATAAATGTCATCAAGGTCAAATCCTGTGCATTTATTCAAAGCATAAATTATATTTTCCACCCTCGGGTGGTTTTGGGAGGCTGGTACTTCCTCGGGCAAAAAAGCAGTTTTCCGCACTCGGGTGGTTTTGGGAGGCTGGTACTTCCTCGGGCGAAAAAGCAGTTTTCCGGAACTCGTTCAAAAAGTCTCCTTTACGAACCTCGTTACGTCCCTCGCCTTCGGCTCGGGCCGCAAACCTCTCGGTTCGCAAATAGAGACTTTTCAAACTCGTAGGAAAACTACTATTTCCGATACTCGTTTGAAAAGTCTCCTTTACGAACCTCGCCTTCGGCTCGGGCCGCAAACCTCTCGGTTCGCAAAGACTTTTCAAACTCGTAGGAAAACTACTATTTCGCAATAGCATGCGGACAAAAGGTGTTTTCCACACTGATATTAGTGTGGAAAATCGATTTTCCCACATAGTGTGCGGCAAAGGTTATTGTCGTACACCTTTTACATACTGTGCGGAAAAACCTTTGCCGTACACCTTTCCGCACACTATGTGGGAAAATCGATTTCCCGCACTAATATCAGTGCGTAAAACACCTATTTTCCGCACACTTGTTGCGAAATAGTAGTTTTCCTACGAGTTTGGAAAGTCTTTGTATGCGAGCCGAGAGGTTTGCGGCCCGAGCCGAAGGCAAGGTCCGTAACGAGGTTCGTAAGGGAGACTTTTCCAACGAGTATCGGAAAACTGCTTTTTTGCCCGAAGAAGTACCAGCCTCCCAAAATCACCCGAGGGCGGAAAAAACTTGTACGCAACTCGTGCAGGACGATTTCCCGCACTCGTGTGATAGGCTCGCACTCGTGGCCGGTGACGGTAAATCGTGTCGTGCGATCACACTCGTGCTACGCACTCGTGTGCTCAACTATCACTCGTTCCCGTCAACTCCGGCCAGTCGTACGAGTCAATCACGACTCGTGCGGGAAATCGTCTTTTCCGCACTTGTTACGTAAATAACTATTATGATTACACACATAAAGTTAGTCCGCGAATATACATCAAAATTGAAAAATTTAAAAACGAAGACAAAGCAATATTTGATGAAATAAAGTGTTGTAAGGAACTAAGGAATACAGTTAATAACTGGGTTTGAATTAAATAAACATGATAATTCTGCAAAGTCCAGAAAGTATGTAAGCATTTTAGGGTACTTCATTTTTTAAAATGATTAAAAAATTTGGGAAAGAAGAAAAAACGTCATAAAAATATTGCAATAGGTAAATTTAATATTGTATTTCTAAATGATCATGCAAGATTTTTTTTTAAATTGTATTAAATAAACTGCTCTTAGAATTTTTTAAAGAAGATGTGCCTGGGGCTAAAAATAAATTAGCTCTTTTATATATTAATCAAATTTCAGAATCAGAAGATGAATCGTGTAAGTGCTACAATTTATCTACACCAAGAAAAGGGAGAAAAAAATGATCTAGATAAAGAAATACGTTTTAGTAAAGAAATATTTAACTTAACGTATATAAGTTCTAGATATAGAACTAGATATAGATAACGTATATAAGTGTACTAAGATACTAGTTAATGCGAACGAAATTAGGCAAAAAATTTTAATGGTATCTTAAGTGCAATTTATTTACCTTTAAGTAGTAAGAAGACTTCAACGGGTGAATCTCAATAAGGAGTACAGCAATGTAGTGAATGAACAAAAGAGTATTTGCTAGACTATCCGCATAATTTACCAAATATTTATACTCAGGCAGATCTCCAATGACAGCAGACTTAACACCTTCCACAATCTGAAACAATATTTTAAGGGGTTGTTTTTAAAGAAGCAGTCAAAACTTATTTCCTTAGGTGCAAATTTAAGATATGGCTCACAGTGAGTTCAGTCTGATTTTAGGACAAAAAAAATCTGATAAGCAAAAGAATTGATAGTTATTTTTAGATCATATAACTGCGAAAAAATAATTCTGACTGCATCTGTTGAATTTCGTTTTATGATGCTGAAACAGTTTTTAAATCATTTAAAATTATATTCACAATATTAGCGTAAGTACATATCTAAAAATAACACATACCATAAAATTATGCAACTTTTTTTTCAAACAAAAAAAATATTTTCATAATTTTTCTTAAGTTCCATACAAAATTAGATATAGAAAATAGAGAAAATATAATTTAGTGTCAGGTAGTTTACTTATATCAAAAATTCGTTTAAAGTTCAAACTTTCGTATAAATAAAATAGTAATACCACAAAAAATTATTTTTTTTAATTTCCATTAGTTATAGCATTTGCTATGAGTATAAATAAGTCTTAAGATCGAAGTTTTGAGAATGTAAGATTATACTTGAAAAAAAAAAAATGAAATTTTTTCATTATAAATTTTATATAGCTCTCTATTAANAAAAAAAAAAAAAAAAAAAAAAAAAAAAAAAAAAAAAAAAAAAAAAAAAAAAACAAAAAAAAAAAACAGGAATTCAGATATTCAATATGTTGTTTAAAAATGATAGTTTGCGTCAGATACGAGCCATCGTCTCCGGGATTATTTTTTAGCCTGAAACACCTGCCAAGCAGTAGTTAGGAGGCCAGGTAGGGTCCCGTGACCTTTTGAGTTAGGACGGACCAACCAAAGTTTTTTTTATGTATTTTTGTCTGCTAAACACTACTTTCGATGGTGTGTCACTGTCTGAGTGGTCAATGTTTTGTTGTTACCAAATTTTATAAACAAATTGAAAAATTTTACAATTTCAGTAAAAAAAATTTACTCTGATTCTTTAGCAAACTTCGAATAAAAAATTAGTTGGAATGTACCTAAACCCCACAGATTTTTAGTAAAAAACTCCTTAAGTTTGACAAATCGAGTTTTTTGCGAATTTCGTCCACGTGCTCCTCAGCTGTGGGTGCGTTATTTTTAACTTCCGTGAGCTTAAATTTTCCTAAAAGCATGTACTTTTGAATAAAAAAAGATTTATAAACGTCAGTTGCTTAACAATTGGGGTATCGCTGATCTGCGAATAATCATTTTCGTAGCCTACTGTTTATCCATATACAATCTGCGACTAATAAAATGTGGACCCAATCCGTAGACAACTGGGATGTACAACGACCATTCACAGATCATCGATTCAGCAGTTGTTAAGTAACTGACGATTATAAATCTTTTTTTATTCAAAAGTACATGATTCAAGGTAAAATTTAAGCTCACGAAAGTTAAAAATAATGCACCTACAGCTGTGGAACACGTGGTCAAACATCGCAAAAAACTCATTTTCTCAAACTTGAGGAATTTTTTACTAAAAATCTGTGGGGTTAAGGTATAAACATCCTAATTAATTTTTTGTTTACTGAAATTGTAAGATTTTTAAATTTATTTATAAAATGTGTTAATAACAAAAAATTGACCACTTGGACAGTGACCCACCATCAAAAATCGTGTTCAGCAGGTAAAAATACATGAAATAACTTTGGTTGGTCCATCCTAACTCAAAAGGTCACGAGATCTTACCTGGCCCCCTAACTACTGGGCCCGAGGGACGTAAAGTAGCCATGGTGCAATGGCGCTTATATGGCAAATCCTATTTTTTCTTCCAAGGGCCCACCAGCTTCTCAAAAACGCCCAAGGTAGTAAAAAAAAAATGTTAATGTTTGTAGTTGAAATAACCAAGATAATGGTTGAATTTTCTCTTATTTTCTGGGGGGTTAGAGGGGGGCAATTGGGAAAGGGGCTGTGAGAGGTTATGTGGAATGCCTCAAACATAAGAAACTTTAGCTGATAAAAGCTACCAATCAACAGTTCTCATTATTTGTGTTTAGTAATTTTATATGCCTAAGACTAGCGTAGGAACAGAAATAATATCTTCATCCAAAAGTGATGCATTTGTTAACAAAGAACCATACAAATAATGGAGAGCCTATAAAATAAAGTGGAATGGCTGCAGAGTGTATTAAAGGGGGATATCAGGGGCTCAACAAAATTTATATTGGACTTAAATAACAGAGTAATTTAAAAATTTTCTCTTATTTAGTGAGAAAGGGTGCTTGAGGAGAGGTACTTAGGGAAATTTTTTTGCTTACCTTACCCAAATGGCTATTTGATACAGTACGGTGCATATGTATTTTTATATATACTAAAAGTATTTATTCTTAAATCCTATTACTTACATAAGGTAAAAGGCCCAGTTGAACGACAATGGCCCAGTTTAACGAACACTTTGATGAAAAACGCATTGAAAAGACATTTATCACTGTACTTGTCAGAAAAAAAATAATTAGGGTTTCTATACGTATCAAATTTAGAAAATCATTAAAATCATACTCAAATTACAATGTAACCAGTGAGAAAAAATTATTTATACAGTTCGTTCCATTTGCCTAAAAACGTCAGCTCTGCTTCGGAAACGAAGAGCGTGTGACTCACTAACTTTATATTTGTAAATAATGTAATGTGATCGATCAAATAGCAAAAAAACAGTATCAAACGAATTATTAGATCATGGAGTATCAATATTTATTCATAAATTAATAAATGTATGAATTATAATTGTTCAACATCAAATAACAAAACATTAACTATATAGAATTTATATATTTGCACGCTAGCAATTAACTTTAGTATTTTGTAACCAATAGCGTGCGTACGATGGTCTTGCGTGACCACCAATCATAGCACTCCACGTTTAAGTTACTTTGGCTGCTCACGACTGCTCGCCTGTAAGCATTTAGTCAGTCCGCACCGATCGCTCGTCCAGTGAACCACAGTGTGGTCACTGTGTACACCAACCAAGTAGACATTTTCTCGAGTAAATTATTTTAAATAGAAAGAGAAAATGTCTTGTGTAATTTACTCGCGTGACTCAAACAACATCATTTTCAGTTTAATTATATTAGTAAAATAACTGTTCTTCAATTTCGTTCAATATCCTTAAACTAGCGCACATAAAAAGGTAATTTTGTTATTTACCACAGTTTTTCAATTTTTTCTCATCAAGTGTTGTAATTTCTGCTCTTAATATACTTTATTATTTGTTATATATAAAAAGGTGTGAGTGTTACTTTTTCAATAAACCCAAGCAATTGGCTCCCACTCTTTTCCCTCGCAACCGGTAAATCAAATCATACAGTCCACAATCATTGGGTTTTCAATCCCAAATATTTGTCCTTCGAGCGGGATCAAAAGGGTGAATGGAGAGCTTCGGCTTATTATTAGTCACGTGCGAGTTACGAAGTCAGCCATCTTAACAAACTTCTTCACGAGCAACGTGCGGACGCGGTCAGCGCGCCGGCGCGTTGGACGTACTTTCTCTCTCTCACACACACTCGCATATAGCAACACTTGGTACCTGTGGTAATATCAGTGCTTTTTCTCATCGTGCACGAACTCGAGTACATACTCGTTGGCTTCGTTGCGTAGCTTATTGCTATACTTTTTCTCGTGCGATTTGTCACCATCTTTTAGTGCACAGGCCCTAGTACATACTCGCTGGCTATCTTGTTCTTCCTGCGTTGCGCAGACAGACTTTTTTTTTTTTCGTGCACTGGCTCGAGTACTATTACTCGTTTGCTACTTTGGTAAATAGCTATTAGCTTTATATAAAAGCTCAGCTTATTTTTAGCTGTACTAGCTCGAGTACTATTACTCGTTTGCTACTTTGGTAAATAGCTTTTAGCTACATCGAAAACAATTGGCTTATATTTAGCNTTATTTTTAGCTGTACTAGCTCGAGTACTATTACTCGTTTGCTACTTTGGTAAATAGCTTTTAGCTACATCGAAAACAATTGGCTTATATTTAGCCTTGGCCTTCGTAGCCATATATACATAGTGCTCTCTTGCACTCATAAGCACGTGGCTAGCACAGAGTCAGCCATTGGTGCCCTCGCTTTTTAATTTCCTTTGTGTGCCGTGCTTATAAACCTTCTTGCTCCACAGAACAACAAGGGTTTTATCGGCAGCGGGCTAACACTTACGTTGGGGTTAAAATTGGGTTTTCAATCCCAAACAATAATTAATAAATCAGTGTGTTCATTAAATTGGCTCATAAATTTCACTTATGTCCCAGTATACGGAACAATATGTTTTGATGTTCCTTAATAATCTTAGTTTGGCCCAGTTTAGTGAACGTGTTTGACCAGTACTCACACAGACGATTTAAGGGTCTTGAATTCACAAAATCTTGCTAAATTCAATAAAAAAAATATCACTGCACTTTACCATCGTATTTATTGGTGATAATTATATAAATTTTGGGTACGTTTACGATTGAAGTATTATAAGGAATGCTAACCTATAACTTTGCCTGTTTACTCAACAGTCATAAGCTTGAATTATGAAATACATTTCACATATTTTCTGTGATTGTAAAAAGAAGAACAACAGAGCCTCAGAAAAAGATTTTAAGTGTTAAAACTAACAACAATCAAAAGAAAAAAATACGGTCATATAATATAACATCAAATGAAGTTAAATCTGCTGTTGAAGCTTTAAACAATGGAGACTCTTTTAGACAAGTTTCAAAAACATTTTATATGAACGCCTGATATTTGGATGAAAATGGCTCTGGATGAAAGAGAAAAGAAAAAAACAGCAGCAGAAAATGCTAAAAGAAAAAGAGCCTATGAATCAAAAGAAGAATCTTGCTGCTAAGCAACAACGACTTTTGAAAGAGCATAAGCAATTTTTAGCTGCTAAAAAAAAGAAATTGATGATGCCATACGCAACTTATCAACTGGAAAAAATATGAGTTTAATAAGTTTTGAAAATAAATGATAACAATTGCCTTGTATTATTTTTTCGTG